TTTCATAACTGGCCTAATTTTCTTTCTTTTTCTTTTTCCTTTTTTTTTTTATTTTTCCTTTCACCCACCATCCACCGCTCACTCTCTACTAACCCCTTTTCTCCCTTACTGTCACCAGCACCCACATCTATCCTCTGTTTTTTAAATAAAAATATGGAGGTAAGTGTCAGACTTTCTCCATCTAAAATAATCATTGTAACTTCTAAATTAGTGAATTAAGTGAAGTAGTATTGTATATAACCTTAATACTCCATGTTTAAATTGGAATCCATTGTAATCTCCATTGAGACATGAAGAACACGTGATCACCAATTGTCCCTAAGAAGGGTGTCTCACTTTGCAGAATGAACACACATAGTGAACTCACATAGCTTTATCCTCCAATTGCTTCTCTAGTTGAGCAATTGCAGCTTCTTACACCTTTTCCCAGGAGGCATTCTTTTGGTTCTCTTAGCTTACAGAGTCTGTGGCAAAACCCTTATTCTTCCAGTATTATTTGAACGTTTGCCTCCTAAAGAAGACTGCCATCCTGCTAAAATCTAATTCGGGGTCTCTCCACTGATTGAGTGTCCTAGAGAAGAGAAAGAAGTATGGGAGGACCTGATTCACATTAATATGGCCTCAAGGCACAGAGTACACTGGACAGGGTGGAGTGACCTCCGTAGATGGAATGGTAAGTCTGGACTCAAGAGACCAAAATTCTAGTTACAGTTCTATCACTAACTGTGAGATCTTCCTCCTCCTCTGTATTTAAAAAAAAATTATGTTTTTACTGTTTTGTTTGTTTGTTTGTTTTTCAAAAACTGGTGTCTTAAAAGACCTCAGATGTCACCCAGCCTGATTCAGAGGGAATCACCACTTCCTAATGGAATAGGCTTAGGTTTGTTGGGTTGAAATCTCCTATTTTCAGTCTATTCCAGACTATTAGATATTGAAGTGACATGATGCAAACCAGACCTGGTCTTATTATTTCTGTGTTTGGAACCTCTGTGCCCTACATCACAGGGGTATGTCTTGACTTTGGTCCTCTCTGAAACACTGAAATTCTAGGAAAAAAAATTTACTTATTTGAGAGAGAAAGAGATTAACTTTGATAGGGCCTCACCATTTCAGGATCCTCCTACCCCAGCCTCCCAGCCAGCCAGGATTGTAGGAATATACCACCATGCCTGGCCAACCCCAGTTGCGCCAGGAACCCAACTCTGGCATCCCATACAGCCTTATCTGAGTAGAATGATCTACTGTGGCTGAGACAAGATTGAGATTTTTTTCAAGGTTGTTGCCCTAGGGCATGTGTGCTCAATGGAAAAGAGACAGAGACAGTGAGAGTAAAAGTGAGAAGTCATTCCCTCCATGACCACACTACAGTCCCTTCTATTTCATTCTCCTCCCAGGATCTTGGGCATGCACACGCACGTGCCAAGTGTGATTTTTCAAGCCATCATACCTGAAACTCAAACTGTGGTTGACAACGTGGAAGTCCAGCACCCTAACAACCATGCCACCTACGGGTCCTAAGAGTCTCTTTTTCTTTTTTCATGCTAGAGAACATGCATGCACACATGACAGGGAGAAAAAAAGAGAGAGAGAGAAAAGAGCACCCTTCACAGGGTCTGGTTACTCTGCAATCCCCTTTCTTCAGTCCTCCAGTTCTTCACATATTAAGTACTTCTGCCATGTGTGCCCAGCATGTTCCAAGCTGAGTAAGCCAGAGATCTGAACCAGTTCCCATGTGGCATTTGGTTTCTCAGGAGCAGTGCTTTATTGCTGCATCATGAAGGTTGAGATTCTTAATGGGAAGGTTCAACAGATGGTTTCTTCCATCTCTAGTGTATTACAACTCTTCTGATGGATTAGGATCAAATGTTATTGGTAACTTCAGGAAGCCAACACCAATCCCAAGCTAACACTATGATACTTTTCTCACTCACTCTGCTACTGCAAAGCAAAACAAAAGTTCAAATATATTAGTAAATTTCTGAAATGGCTTATAATAGTGGTTCTGATGATCCACAGTAAGCAGCTTGTGCAAACCCCAGAGCATTTATTTGTCTGTAAAAATGAGAAACTCACTCCAGCTAGCTTACAAAATGGGAAAAGGGTTGTACTACTACATAGATGTTGCTTAAACAAAATCTCAACCCCAGAGGGGATGTGATGCCATTGAAAACTCAGACAGCTTCTCCATGTAACCTATCTCTCTGGGGCCCCACATTTTCTTGTCTCCACTGCATGCTGACTTTGCTACCATCATTTTACTGATCAACCTCTCTAGTCACTCATCCACTTGCATATCCTGGTGATTAAGGTCTCGAGCCCTGGACTGTAGGATCCTTCAGGTACACTGAAGCTACTATCTCAGTGTCTATGGCTCAGTTCCCAGTCTCTAAATCGACCTAGCTTAGGTCAGAGAGCTACCTGAGGTGTCCAAGCAGCCACAACAAGTGTCGGGGATCACAAGAGACTTAGAAAAAGACGTCATAGATTACTGGGTCACACTGCAGTTCTGTTTGGTTTTTGTTTTTGTTTTGTCTTTCCCACATACTTCAGTGGAAATTTAAAGACTTGATTACCTGGAAGTTGAAAGAGCCAATGGGGGTCCCATAGGTGATATGGTGGTTAAGGCACTGGACTCCCACATGGTTGATCATAGTTTGAGTCCAAGACCTGGTGGCTTGCTTTCTCACTTTCCCTTTTCTGTCTCTCTCAGGTCAAACTAAATAATAAGTACAATTAAATAAAATAATTCTTACAAATTTAAAGAAATAAAGAGCCAATGGTAGATACCAGAAACTACATGGGGTTATGGGTGAGGGAAATTGAGAGAAAATACTAGCAGACATAAGAATGCATATAAACAAGTGAAATAGGTCATGGACTGGTGTATCCCCCAACAGAGTGAAAAATGACATTGACAATTCAATTTATAGTGCTCTCCCAAAAACTACAACTATTTCCAGATTTGTACTGTATAACATAATGTTCAATGTTAAAGAAGATGAATATGTTTATATTACACAGTGCATGCATACTTTGAAAAGCCATACCATACCTCACTGATATGTACAATGATTATATGTAAATAAGAAATCACAATAGAAAAAATAAAATAAAATGTGTCAATACCCAAAAAATAAAGAAAGAAAGGGCTTCATAGAATTTCCTCTCCATTCTGAAATGCTTTAAAATAGAAATATGATAAGTAATTACAACTAGAACAGTAGCACGCAGTGGCAGCATCTAGGGAAAACTGGCATGGTCATCCTAAAATTGGAAAAACAATTTTTTAAAGAAAAAAAAAGGTAAAGAAAAATGAGAGCATTTCTAATATTGTAAGCTAGAGCAGAATCAGATCTCAGATAGAGTTCCCAAGATCCCTTTCCTCTCTCAAAAAGTATTCATAGTATAATTTGACCTCAAGGACCTTGGGAAAATGGCTTTTTTCTATCTTAGAAAATCCTACCCAGATAGTATATTATTGAGAATTACAAAGTCTTTTATATATTCCAAAAGGCTTTTGAATTCTTGGAAGGATTTACTCTTAGACTGAGATGATCTGTCTGATTGGGCTCTCTACCAACAATTCAAAACCTGCCAAGATGACCAAAATCAAGTTGTGGTCATCTCACCTATGTAGAGTCTCTATATTATAACTCACTGAATTAAATTCAGCATAGAGTGGACATGAGTCTACTTCAGAGCATGTTTAAATTACGGTTTAGTATATGTAGGTTATATATATGCTCACTTCAGCAAAGTTAAAAAGTAAGGACCAGCAGATGGCATAATGGTTACATTGCTAGACTCAAATGTAGTTAACTACAGTTCAAGTCCCACACCCAGTGGCCTAAAACTCATGCCAGGCACATGTGCGTGTGTGCCTAAAGTCCTGAGAGGAGAATGAAGGAGAAGAGAAAGCGGCATGGCCATCCCCCTGGGGGTGATTTTTCATGATTTGTCCCTCTGTCTCTCTCTGTCTCTCCAGTGAGTGTACGCACCCTATAGCAAAAATCTCTCTAAAAAAATAAACAAATGAAATAGAAATAATCAAAGGAAGACATAAATAACCCATCATCTAGGGAATTCTATGTTCCCCCTTTTCATATGTGTAGACACTGATCATATGTTTTAAATAAAATTATATCATGATTTATGTTTTGTGAACTTTTTCACTCAGTAACATGGGAATCTTTTGGCTTATTTTTTCAAACTAGAGAAAGGAAGATTTTGATCCATAATACCAGCAAATATTTATTGAACATCTATCATGCATTTCATAAGCCCTTCAGCTATATTAGTTTACTCAGCCTTCACAACAGATCCACAAAGTGGGTTTCATTATCATCCCTATTATGTAGATGAAGAAACCAATTTTACTCCCCAGGGTTGAACTAAGGGCCCCCTTAATAGCTGAACAGTCCACACAAGCATCATCAACAGTGTCAAGTACTTCTCCTGTGGCCCCAAGACCGCCATGATTCAAGGCTGTTCTGAAAGAACTGTAAACAGTGAACGTTGAGAGAACATGCCTGAGGATATTTGGGCAGACAACAAAATGTGACCTCAAAATACCAGCTACTTTACCTTGCCACAAGTAATATTCCAGTCCACAATGTCATTTCTAGATGAGGCCTGGTAGCCGCCTGTTGTTGAAATAGGCATTTACCCTGCTCATTAATATGAGCAGATCTGATCATGACTCTTTAGGTTTCTAAGTTAATGGAATCCCATAAGTTAACAAGCAATAATTTAGAACACATGTACCTCCCAATCAGAGCTATTCAAGCAAGAATAGGGGAATATATTTTGCTTCATTTTTCAATACTCAGTTATCCAAGTAAAACACGTCCTTAAAACATCATGTGCATTAGAACATGAAGAGGAAAAGCATGCAATGGTAAGCACAGCTACAGTCTGCTCCTAAGGCTCCAGGTAATAGAGGCCTAGGGATTCCATCTGCAGCATTCTCACAGTAATGTCATAATGTCAACATTCCAAAAGAGTCCACGGCCCCAGAATCAGGGTCTAGGATGCCAGAGAAAGGGTGGAGAGGAATCTCCATGAATCCTGGGGTTTTGCATAAAGGCAAAGGCTAAGAAGGAAACAAAGAGTGAAATTTTGTCAACACTATTGAATCTGGACCCCATTCTAAGCATGTCCCATTTCACTAATTGGAAGGGCACTCAGATGGGAAGAAGCTCGATGCCATTTGACAACATCAGGTAATCAGCTCATCTCTCTTTTCCTTTATGGCACCAGGACAGGCTCCACATATTGGCGCCATGGGCATTCGTAGGCAGAGGGTTTAGCCAGTCTGTCAACCAGTATTTATCAACATGAGCAAAGAAAGCATTTTTTAAAAATAGATGTTTTTCTTTTCTGTTTTAATTCCCTTTAATGTTGTTATTGAAAATGACTTAGAAAGTAAAATAATGATTAGGTTAGATAAATTCATTTACCACCCTTAGTATGAATTGGAAGCTCAAGGGCAAAGGTCCAGGATAAAGCGTAAATCTCATAAGAGAGTCAGAGAAAGGGAGTCAGAATATACACAGAGCACTCAGAGGTATAAAAAACACATGTCTTATTCTGCAAAGAAAAATAAAAATTGCCAACTAAAAGTAACGTACTCTGCTCCTGTTGAAACATTTTGCTTTGAGGTTAACTCAGCTTCATTTGGAAACTATTTTAAAAACTCAAAGGCAGTAACCTCTTTATCTTGAAGGGGCATTTTTTTCATTTCTTCTTCCCAAGCTGGTATCTGGGTGCAGATATGCTGACATATCCTTCTGGTAGGGGCTGTTGGGTCCTTGGTGTTCTCAGCTAGGAACTAGTCTTGTCCCTAAATGTCCTCAGCTGGTGTTTACTTAGGTGTGGCTGATCTCACTGTCTTTGTGACCAGCTTGTTGACATCTGCTGAAGTTTAATGTCCCTGTGGTCCATCGAATCACTTTGTGGCCTATTGCTTCCTTGCCCTGACCACAAGCTTAGGTCAGGACAGCATTGCTCTTAATTCCTTGGTGTCTTCTCACCAAGGCAGACTGGAATTCCAGGCCATGAGGAACCTGGCTTGTTTCCACCACTTCCAAACTATAGTAGACACAGTGGAGATGTAGGGAGTGAATCTAGATATATTCACTCTCCTTCAAACCATGTGGTTTCTGTGAATGTTGCTAATGCTTCATCATTCCCTGTCCCGATTTTGCTTAAACATAGTGGAATGAAGGAAGAAGGAGTCACTTCTCAGTAACCAAAATTTGGTACACATCCTACTTGTGCTCCCTCAGAATTGCCATTCTTCCTTCTGTGGCAATGTTTTCTATTTTGTCTTCCAATCTGAAGAACATTTCCTATAAATCACCTCCATCTGCTCTATACTATGGATATGATCTAGCCTGGCTTTTTATAAGTTTATCTGTTGGGTCGTCGGGAAAGTCATGACATAGTTTTCTATTTTTTACTATGCAAAAAATGCATCATGACTTTTCTGACGACCCAATATATATAAAACCTTTAGGAATTTTTTTAGAGAGATTTTTGCTATTGGGAGTGTGTGCTTACTAGAGAGAGAGACAGAAATCAGAAAGTCACCCTCAGAGGTGGGGGTGATGGCCCTGCCACAATCCCTTCTCCTCCATTCTTCTCTAAGGATTTTGGACACACATGCATGTGCACCTGACAAGAGTTTTAAGCTGCCAGATCTGGGACTCAAATCAGTTGACTGGTGGGAGTCCAGTGTCATAAACATTATACCATCTGCTGGTTCCAAAACCTCTAGGAATTTAGAAAATGCTTTTCTCTCTCCATGGAAACTGATTCTAAGACTATTATCTTGCTGTTTTAGAATACTTCCTTGAGATTAGAACCTTAAAATTAATCCCTTTTCTTTGTTTTTCACTTTAACAATGCTAAATTCTTCAAGATAGTATAAACGTCATCAGCTAATGATTTACTCAAAACAGTATAAGTCTAAATAATTTTGATAAATGGATTTTTTTCATTTCATTTTCTTTTATACATTCAATCACATTACTATTTGGCTTACATGATGAATATTTCAGCAGGTGAACATTAGTACAGTTGATAAAACTACAAAATATCTTCTACAGATAATACCACATTTCTTTGTGCCATTAATGCTTTGCCTTCCTATTTTTCTTCTAAATGCCCTTCCTCAGACCCTTCTCTTTCACACACACTATATCTGGTATTTACATCTATACTGTGTTTATAAATCCTTTAGTCAATTAGTTTCATTCATAAAGTGTGAACTCTTGGTAGATATTAAATGGGGACACACGATGCCTCTTCTTCATAGCCTGGCTTGCTTCACTCAACAGTAAATCTTCCATATTCATCCACTTCCTGTCAAAAGCCAGGGTTTTGGTGATTTTTAATGGCTGAATAGTATTCCATTGAGTATATGTGCCACAGTTTTTCTATCCATTCATCTGTTTATGGGCATTTGGGTTGTTTCCATGACTTAAAAATTGTGAATAGTGCCACAATAAATATCCATGTTCAAGCACTTTTCTGATTAAGTATTCTTCTGTCCTTTGGGTAGATACCAAGGAGTGGGATTGCTGGATCATATGGTAGTTCTATTTGTAGAATTTTGAGGAATCTCCAAATTGTTCTCCACAGTGGCTGGACCAATTTACATTCCCACCAGCAGTGTAAGAGAGTTCCTGTTTCACCACACCCCCAACAGCACTTATCTTTTTTTTTTTTTAATCTTAGTTATTCTGACTATGGTTAGGTGGTATCTCATTGTTGTTTTGATCTGCATTTTCCTTGCAATGAGGAATGTTGAGCATTTTTTCATATGCCTTTTAGCTATTCATATGTCATCTTTAGAGAGTGTTTTTTTCAACTCATTCTCCCATCTTTTAATAGGACTGATTGTCCTTTTTCAGAACAGCTGTTTGAGTTCCTTGTGAATTCTGGTTATCAGTCCCTTATCTGACACAAAATAGTTTACAAAAATATTTTCCCATTCTGAGGACTGTCAATTCACACTAATTACTGTGTCTTTTGCCATGCAGAAACTTCTTAGTCTGATGTAATTCCACTTGTCTATTTTGGGGATTATCGACTGTGCTTTGGGGGTCTTACTTAAGAAGGCTTTCCATACTCCAATGTCTCCCAGGGTTTCCCCAGTGTTTTCCAGGAGCAGTTTTATAGTTTGAGGTCTTAGCTTTAGATCTTTGATTCACCTTGACTTGATTTTTGTCAGAGGTGAGAGGTAGGGGTTCAGATTCATCTATCTGCAAGTGGAAATCCAGTTTTTCCAGCACTATTTGCTGAAGAGGTTTTCCTTTTCCCACTGGATTGATTGGTACCCCTTGTCAAAAATCAGTTGACTGTATGTTTGGGAATTTATTTCTGGGGACTCTATTCTGTTCCATTGGTCCACTTGTCTGTTCCTGTGCCAGTACCATGCTGTTTTGATTACCACAGCTTTGTAGTATATTTTGGGTCAGGAAGTGAGATGCCACCCACTCCACTCTTCTTGTGCAGAATTGCTTTGGCAGTATGGGGTCTTTTATGATTCCAGACGAACTTTATGGTTGTCTTTCCTAGATCTGTGAAGAATGTGTCTGGTACTTTGATAGGTGTTGCATTAAATATGTAGATTAATTTGGGTAGAGTTGCCATTTTGATTATATTAGTTCTTCCAATTCAGGAACATGGGATATCATTGGGAAAAGAATAGAAGTGCTACAAGAACCAGTGAAGTGTTCTAGGACTAGTAACTTCAATCATTCCCAAACTTAACCCCAGTCATCTAAGGGAATGGTTACCAAACCCAGAAGTGGGGCCATCTGAGAAGTGATTAAGTGGGAACCAGCAGTTAGCATAATGGCTATGTCGCTGGACTCCCACATAGTCGACCATGGTTCGCGTCCCTGACCCGGTGGCTTAAAACTCATGCCAGGCGCATGTGCATGCATGCCCAAGATCCCAAGAGGAGAATGGAGGAGAAGGGATTGCGGCGTGACCATCGCTCCTGGGGACGCTTTCTGTCTCTCTGTCACTTTCTGTCTGTCTGGCGAGTGTACGCGCCCTATAGTGAAAAAAACCTCTCCAAAAAAAAGAAAGGCAGTTTTAGTATTAATACATTAAAATTTAAAAAATGTCAAGAGAACTTTGCTTAAGACTTAAAGACAGGAAACAGGTTAGGATTCTGTTTGAATCATAGGTACATGGACCTGTCCACATGGACCTGTCAACTCGAGAGAAGACTATCCTCCCTTCTTTTCACCACCAGCTAGAGCACTCCATTGGCCAAAACTAATTGGATGTCAGAAACAAGTCAGCTCCGGGATAGGGAAGAGTGGACGAGGGATCTTACAAACAAACAGAAAATATTTTGTCAAAATACTTTTCAAAAGAAGAAATGGGATATGGATAATGTACAAGGAAGTATGAAAAAGAAAAACTCATGATATTTTGCAAAAATATTACATCCCTATAACAGATGTCTGTCTTACCTGCAGTTTAATTTCTGTCACTGTCCATCTGAGCATGTATTTCAATAACATGACCACTGATTTGCAAAGTCGCCTGATAATAACAATAGCTGGCCCTGTGTTACTTCTGTATGAGCAGCTTTTCGTTGATGCTATTTAATTCTCAAAAGACACCTTTGTGATATGTGCAAATTATCATCATCATCTCCATTTGAAAAGTAAGATAATAGACTATAAAAGACTTTTTAAAAAAAATTTTTGGAAAGGTTTTTGCTATAGAGAGCGTACACTCTCCAGAAAGACAGAGAGAAAGAAAACGAGAAATCACCCTCCAGGAGAGATAGCAATCCCTTCTCCTCCATTCTCCTCTCAGGATCTTGGGCACGCACACACATGCACTTGGCGTGAGTTTAAGCCACCGGGTCCAGGACTTGAACTGTGGTTGACTACATGGGAGTCCAGCAATGTAGCCATTACACCATGTGCTAATCCCAAAGACTTAAAGAGTTTGTCTAAAGTCACACAGGCTAGTCAATAGCCAATGTAAGACCTAAGACCAGGTTCCCTAAGATAGGCAGGGAGCTGGGAAAGGACTGTGGAGAACTGAAAATGGCGTGTGCCTCTGTGTCACAACTGATGGTCGTTGTCCAGAATGGTAGGCCCCTGTTGTTAGGTCTGAATTTTCAAGAGAAACTTGTGATCAACATTGCATAGGAAAAGTCCTCATTATTTAACATAATTTTTTCTAA